GAATACTGTCATTTCGCTCCAAAGTGGATTCTTCTTCAGAGCTACGACTGTACCCTATATAGTAAAGTAATATACACTATGAATGCGTATACTTATGAATAATGTGTACTGTATCAAAATCATTTTGCTCTATTCTATCTTACATTTGCTTTGAAGGCAATCAGGAGCAAAGGTGTTGCAGTAAAGCATTAAATCTGGTGATTGAAAAAGTTAGTCGTTATTAATATGAAACCGTGTTTTGTTCCATATAATTTTAAGTAATATTTAATATGCAATGTATATGCGGAATAATTTTAACCATACAGGGTGGTCTGATGATCAAAGACACAAATAAATCACGTTAGTAATAATCGCGAGTTGCACAGTATAATGTTTGTTCTCTTGGTACTTTATAGAGCACGGCATTAAGCATTCTTGTTAAGTGTTGGTTGTCTTGAGCAACGGATTCTTTCTGATCTCCCTCGGTGCAGCAGCTGAGAAAAATGTGTGGCTAGTCGCTGGACCTACAGTCATAGTGTTCTGGTGTGATCATGTCTGACCATTGGAGGATTGTGGCAATTCTATCCTATGTGTGCGCTTTGCAGCAGCGATTTTCCTTCCCCCCATAATTCTGGCTAGAATGTTCTACAACAGCCACAACCTTAAGTTTAAAAGAAATTTATTTTAAATTATGATTAATTTTGTACCCAGCATAAAGTAATCAGGAATGTGCAGCTGGATATGGTTAGCTGATAACTAATATGCCCTGGATCATGGTTAAGGCAAAGACGTACGTTACCGGTAGACGTTATCACGTCTAACTTGTGCGTTCCTGTGTTTTTTCAGCAACGTGGTTGTACAACACGAGATACCAATCACTATCTTTTACTCGAATGGAAATCTAAAGGAAACTGAGTGCCCTAATGGCGCTATTTAGTTTCAAGCTCTGTCAAGCTGGTTCAGACAAGAATTAGATGGCTGGCCAACTGCCCATGATTTCTGTATTGCTTCGCTGTCGCTATGTCAGTGTTCGTCGTAGAAACGTTTCAGATACACTTGTGGCGAACGAAGCCCAATAAAACTTAAAACTTTCGTTAAAAAAATTATTAAATAATCGTCAGTAATTCGTTCGCACCCTTTTGATCTGATTGCTGAATATCGCCCCGCTTTTGCATATTGCTCTTGCTTCCTCAGTATTGTTAATCATTGTTTTTAGTGTTTAGTTTTCTGTCGAAATGTCGTTCGATACAATTCCCAGGGATTTACGGAATTTGCGTGCCTGTCTGTTGTGTTCGCTGATCAAAAGCGTCGATCAGTTCGAAAACGACGGTTGTGAAAACTGTGAGCAGTATTTGATGATGAAGCACGATCGCGACAAGGTGTACGACTGCACCAGCTCGAATTTCGATGGCATAATATCTCTGATGAACCCATCAAGCAGCTGGGTGGCCAAATGGCAGAAGATCAACCGCAAAGTGAAGGGCGTCTATGCGATATCGGTCACCGGCACTCTCCCCTCTCAGATTATTAACGAATTGGCGACCGTTGGTGTCAGGTATAAATCTAGAAGCCGATATGACTGACGCTTACCAACACCTATTCGGCACCTATTGTTTATTATGCGCACCACGTGAATTTTCTTTTCAACTGGTATCACTGATAAATCTTTTGTCGGATGTACATTATGTTGATTCTGATTATGTTTGTTGTTTATATCTGTTGAGCATAATATTGTAAACATGCCTTTGTAAATTACTTGAAAAACGTCAGCATAACAATGTTGCATTCTTCGTTGCGTGTGCTCGAACCGCATCCATTAAATCACGGAACATGACAGCATTTCGTAGCAGTCCTTAGAAGAAGACCTCTTAACCCTCCAAAGTCTGTTCGATCTTCCTTGAAAGATGGGGTTCTCAATTGATCTGGTCGATAATGATAACAGTATTTTAATCTTTGAATCAAATAGTCCATGAATTATTGATGGTCACTTTACAATAGCGGAAGGTAGAGCCATCTGAACAAAATATGACCAAAAATGTGATACTTTCAGAAAAAGAAAAGTTGCAATTTTAACAAAAGGCATGAAGCACGGCCTTGCGGAAGATGACTCCAAGTGTACTACGAACCATTTTCTGCACAGCTAAGCGCAATCACCTCATGCCAATGTTTTCCGTTAGAATGCATATAGGCAAGCGACCAGTCTAGCTCATTTCCGCCAACATTTT